TAATTGATGTTCAATCTGGGATATTCCCATTGTCCTATACTCCTATACTCCTTTAGAGACAGTTATTGTCACTATCCTAAAGCCTGAGAAGGAATACCAATTGCTACCCAGTTATCTCAAGTCATTCTCCAGCATCTGGAAATCTCTCTGAGGAAACCACATGCATTTGAGACCAGGCTAGAAGGTAAATTTGCTTTCAACTTTAAAGAATGAATCTTCAGCAAATCTTAAAGTAAATACGTGAATTTAGAAAAAAAAAACATAAAGAAAAAGGTTTAAAACATACTCTCAGCCTTGGAATTGGACACTATATTAGATAGTCAGGTCTGATATTTAACATTCTCCATTCCCTAGATTATGGGCCAACTGTATTTGCTAAGCATAATAAATCCAAACAGTGCACTAACCTTACCTGGAGTGGTAGAAGGTTTAGCGTGTCTTCCACCCACTAATTAAAAAAGACCTGTCTGTGTAGTTGATGAACTTAAGCTAAGCACGTGGACTCTTTAATCAGCAGAAGGTCACGTACATCATGTATGAGGATTTCTGCAAAGCTAATAGGTGTAGGACAATTAATCTTCTTCACTTTTTGGAATAAAAGAAGATATTCAATACTGGAATCTTACAGGGAGATTTAACAAAGAATGCTTGCACATGAGGTGTTAATACAAATGTACATTTCAAAACCAAATCTCCAATGAATAGCAGCAAAAGATTGACTTTTTTGTGGGTGTGGGTACCAGGAATTGAACTCAGGACCTTGAGCTTGCCAGGCAGTCCCTGTACTGCTGAGCTATCTCCCCAGCCCAAGATTGACTTTTTTGATGAATTATGATTTTTTGGTGTAGAGAAATAGTTGTTATTTGAATGAACCACTTTACACATGTTGCCCGTCTTTGTCTTAAGAGACCCTTTGAGGGTGGATACTGCAACTTTCAGAATACAACAGCTGAGATGGTAAATTACTTCCAATTGCCACAGCCGGCTAAGTTGTGGAAGAACTTCTACACATGACTGCCCCTTGCTGCAGAGCTGGTAAGCTCAACAACACCTTCATTAAGGACTTACTATTGTGCTATAAGAGATTATAGTTTCTCTTTCCTTTAGCTTACTTATTTTCCCCACTACTCTTTTGGGTCTTCTGAGTTGATCAAGATCTACCAGACATTATAATTCAAACAACAGGGGATTACTGCTTGGAAAAATTTCATGTAGAATAACTCTAAGGCTCCCAAAGATTTAGTCTTACCAATTAATTTCAACACAGACTTTAAAGAACTAATGAAAGGGAAAGCATCAAAATGCCTCACCTTGCATGTCAAGGTACTGCCGTGAGCCAGGTACTGCCTGTTTTCAGTCACCCACGAGGAGGAAGATGTGGACTAATGAACACTTCTTGGAAATTGTAGCTTTGACTTTGGTTTATCTCATGAGAGCTGTAGGAAGGGGTAATTTGAGAGGGTAATACACTGGCTGCTAGTGGTGGGCACTAACTGTCTTCCTAAGTACAGAAAGAGAGGGAACATCACTTTTTTTCAGTCAGTGAAGCCAAGTCTGGGTAGCCCTAGTTTTTTAATATGCTCTGCCAGGTTGCTCTCAACTGCAGGGGTTACATGCATGACTGGCCCATCCAGGGGCATGGGAAAGTCCCATTGCTTGATACCAGGCACCTTATAGGTAAGTCATGCCTGTGCTACCAGTACCACAAACTTCCTGGTGAACAGTCATGCATGTAGCCTGGGTGGTTCAAGCTGGTGGGAACATGTTAATCAGAAATGGGTGACTTGAGTTGTCTTCAGCAGCTCAGTAGAAAAAAAAATAAAAAAGGAGAACTTGAGTAAGATTTTATAAAAGGTCTCGAGAAAGAAAAGTCTTGCAAAAATTCTCTTAAAAATAAACTTTATTTAAGGTAAAAGTACAGTTCATTAATAAAAGGAAAACATTTGTCTAGAGGTCAACAGGACAGGATGTGCTCCAACATGCATCTTTAGAGTTCTAAAGATCCTGAGTGTGGTAATTTGGTTGTAAAAGGTGAACCCCCGAGGCATTACATGCTCTTAAATCACATTTTAGTATCAAATGTGACATTTACAAAGGGCACAAGTTTTATGAAAGCCAATCATTTTGTTCAAAAACTTTTCTCCCTGTGTGTGTGTGTAAATTTAGAAATACCACATCTTGGTGTATATTGTAGAATGCCTAAAATTTAATTCCGTAGTTACAGTATCACCAGTTGAAAACCTGTGGTTCCTGCTATCTTCTTGGGCATGTCTCTCTCTATATGACAGATTTAGAAATTAAGATTTATTGTACTAAAGCTTGTTTTCCCCCAATGCTACCCTCATGAATGATGTTACCTGTCTACAAATTCCTGGAGGAGCCTTTATTTTGCAATCCAGAAATCTACTTAATTCACTTGCATGAACAAGGAACATAATTCTGGAATGTCTAGCATCTTAAAGGCATGACATATAACTGCGTTACTCTGTACTATCCTAATGTAGTAGTGTTAGCTTTATATTTCCATACCCCATCATACTGGAAGGGGCACCTAAGACACTGCAATCTGTTGAAGCACCCTAAACTCAGTGGCAAAGGTGATCCAACAAACATATAATGTGACATCCAGCTTAACCTTCGTACAGGATGACGACCTTCTCTGACAGAAGATGGTGGTAAGCTCATAGGGTTTGGAATCTTTGGTTTGCACATCTGCAAGATGAAGATAATCCTTGCCAATTAAGGGGGCTGTGAAGAGCCAATACAGGACAGGAGAGCATTTGTTTAACATGATATTAAATGTGGTAAGAAATTAAGGGTGACTTAAAATGCTTTGGTGGCCATCTAAAGATTATGCGGCCTCTAAATGTCATAGGCAATGAAAAGACAGGCAGACACATACTAGCTATGATTCAAGGCTTCACCATGTAATTCTTTAAGCCTTTGTGACTATGCAAGGTGACATCATGACCTAAGTTTCATACTTAGGCCTCATTAGAAAGGTATAAGGGAGAGTACTTGACTCAAGGACACACGCATTTTATACTCATCGAGTAAAGTTACCATTAATTCTCCTTGGTAAAGTTGCCACCAGCTCCCAGACTGTTCTAGAGACAGACTACACTTTGATAGTGATATTCAGCCATGCTGTCTGCCTTCTACATACTAAGTGCTAGAAACTGTGTTAAGCTGTTTGCATCTCTCTTATTCTTTGCTGTGATTAGTAGGTGAGATAGTCCCCATCACGTCCATTTGACAGAGGGGCTTAGTAACCTGCCAAGCTACCACATATAAGGCCAACACAGCTTCTAAATAGAACTACTTGGCCTCCCAGAAAACCACTTTGAGACGACCCAGGGTGCCCTGCAGAGCATCCAACCTCCACGTTCAGCCTGACTTACTCTTGCCTTAGTGTCCACAAATGGAAGGAGATGTACAGGAGACTGTGTCAGTGGCCTTACTTCAGTCCTGCTTTTCAGATGATTTCAGGAGACACCGTGAGAAATGGGACTTAGTGTACCTATGAATCTCTCCAACTTCAACCTGGGACCTCCCTTCTGACTTACGTTCAACTTTGTATTAATGAAAGTAGACGTGAATGAAGTATACCCTGTATATACAAATACAGGTGATTATCCTTACATGAGGCTTCTTTGAGCTGAAATTCCACGTTAGATTTGAGTGAAATATGTTTAAAAAATTGTTCCTCTTCAACCTGAAAACAAGATACCTCTGAAGCTTTTTCTAGACTTCTATTTATTCTGCAATTCTCACAACTTAGGGCCATCATATAGCTGAAGCAAGTCTATAGAAGTTTTAGTTTTCTCAAATAGTAAGGCTAGAACAGTAGATTATAAAACCAAAGGGCTCAGAATTAGGGATCAGGATTAGCACAGTGTATTCTTTATTCTTGGTATCTAAATTAGCAACAATATCTGTATTTTTTCTTTTCTCTTAAAATATTTTTACCACCATTAAAAGGAAGAGCACAGGTTCCTTTTGGTTTAAAGTAACACATTATTTGATTAGGAAAGATTTACTTGGTAAGAATTCTAGGTAATCATTCCAGTTTGACTATACACTACAAGGGAAATCCTTCAAGAGTCGCCCCTCAGAATCTTCTGGTTTGAAATGAGAACAGTAAAAACCTAGACTTTAGCCTCCAAGTTCTGCTGTGTACTTAACTGAAGAGTTTATCCTTTAAACGCACCCTAGTTCTACTACTTAGAGCCTGTCTTCTCAGTTTTGAGAGGGTCCATCAGACTTCCAAAGATAAAAGGAACAGCAAGAAGTAACAAATTTGAAGCTTCAATATTTTTCTACCAACAGTTCAAGAACTGAAGGCTTAGAAATGATATCAAGACTTTAGAACAGCTACAAGGTATTATGATCTACTAGGACTATTTCTTTCCAAATAGTAGAAAGCTTGCAAAGAGGCTACTTAGAAGTTTGGATTCAAGAGACTTGCCTAGATTTCTTTATGAGGGCCCACAAACCTGTTGATTTTTCTGTTATTCATTGCTATTCCTGAAATCTCTGGAGGGTCCACTTTCAGTTGCTTTCTATAACAGGCTCATATAACTCTAAATATCCTCCTTTAGTGTTTGATAAGCTTCATATTTTACCTTTTGTCTTCTCCTATATTAAGCTTTAGAGACACAACACGCTTATGCCAACACATCTCATATAGAATTCTTTAAGATCTTGTGAGGATGATAAATCCCAGGCTAGTAGTCCTTCATGAAGTTTAGTATATGCTGAGTTGACTAGCACTCTAGCCACATAATTCTTATCTCAATATAACTATTTAGTTACTTCATTTGTTTTCCAAATGAGTTTGTACATCTTAAGTTAGGTACAAAGAATTATAGCTTGGATTTTTACTGAGAACAAGGTAAAAAAAAAAAAAAAAACAAAGAGAGAGGCCTTAGACTCTTTCAGGGTCTGAAATTGGTACCCAGAACCTGAAAGAACACATACAATGGATTATAAGCCTAAAGAAGATGGCAGAGAATAATGCTTTATTTTCTTTTCAAAACTATGACTGTGAGACTTATAATTTACATTATATACTCTTATAATAGGGAAAAACACTGGTATCTTTAAGCTTCTAAAAGAGCATTTGGTATTACTTCAATTAAAAAAAATAAATCAGTGGTTTCAATACCACACCAGGGTCAAAGCACCAAAGAAATGGACATCAGAGTTTAGGTATGATAAATCCCAACCTACTTACCGAATAGGCACTTCAGCCAGTCCCTGTCAGCAAGCCACATTTGTTGTGTTCACCGTTCACTGTGATGAGTACTTATAGGGTAAGAAACAAGTGGACAGCAGACAGTCCTACCTTAACGCCTCCAGCCTTTTCCTTCTGCATGGTTGACCTCCTTACCTCCCACAAAATAAAGGTTCAAGTCTAGCTTTTCTCTTTCATCCATTTGACCCAAAGTGCAAAGCAGCATCCATGAGATAACAAAACCAACTTCCTCCTCATCTGTGATTATTGATCTCTTTACCTAAGCCAAAAGCCAAGATGCCTTCTGTTCCACATGCAGATGTTTTATGACTATTCCACTAATCTGTGCATCTATTCAGACATCTTCTGCTCAGGTTCTTGCTGCTGTACTTGTCATTAATTCCAGATGGGTCACTATACCTTCTGAAGTAGACTCCCCACCTTACATTGAGCCTACGGCATCTTCTCAGTGTTTCAACCTTTGCATCTTCCTCTGCTTCCGGACATCTGGAGACTTTAGAGTAAGGAAGTGATGACCAACTTCACCATACTCCAACTCCTTATTTGTTCTTTATCTTTAAAAGTTCCAGAAATTGCCCACAGAAAGAATCTGTCCTAATATAGCCAGGCTGACAGTTTTGAAGATACTACAATGATATTCTCCATGAGTCACATCAAAACAGTGGTTTTCAAACTTTAGGTCACATCAGTGTCATGGGAAGGGATTGTGAAAACATAGATTCCTGGGCCCCAGCACCAGAGCTGCTGATTTAATAGGTCTGGGATGGTGCCTAAGAGTGTGTATTTCTACCAAGCTGCCAGGTAATACAGACACTGCTGTACCTGGACACACTGAGAACCACCACCTTGGATTTAAGAACGATGCTGGTTGTTATTCTTCCTAATCATTTTCATAGTAAGACAGAGTAGACTTTCATAAGAAGAAAGCCTTTGCCTATGCCTTAGAAGGCACTTGCCCTTGATCTACATATGACAGAATATGGAAGACAGAGAATTATGTATGAAGCAGAATTCTTAGAAATTTCAGCACATGCTTCTAGATTGAACAAATTAATGAGAAAAGGAGTTCTTCTGTAATCAAGAGGAATTCTGGGTACAGACTAAGATAGTTTCTTTTATAAAATAAGAAACATTTGGAGAGAAAATGTTAAATGGTACCTTGTCTTTAGCTAGTACTTGGTTGTAAGGGAAGCTTGCACAATTACAGGCTTAGATACACAACATCGGGAGTGGCAGCTCATATATTTCGTTAGAAGACTTGACGCTACTCAGGCTATTTTTAACAACTTGTCTTAGAGGAATAGGCACAAACCATGGTTAAGCTGCTTGATTTAATTTTTAGCACTTGAAAAAAAATGTACAGTAGTTTGAACTCTCAGTCTTTGTAAACCTCCATTGAGGTCAAAGATTTCACTCATACGTACAAAATTAGTTTACAAATTTTTTGGCAATTTCATCTTAGTAACCCGTTTTATCCTATTGCCATTGTCCCAACCATTGAAAAAGTTTACAATAATTTACATAGAAATATTTTCAAAGTGCTTAAGAATAGTGATTGTTCTCTGGGGTATTTACAGATGGCCTATACAATGTATGTACAGGTGGTATACACTATAGCACAAGTTTCATTGCTGGAATATGGCTTTCTAGGGAAAGTGCATATTTGGCCAGAGGTGGCAATACTGTCTAAAACTTCAAGGGTTACAGATACTTGGTAACCACATCCAAAGCTGAAGTAGAATGTGGACAAGAATATTTACAAAAATAATATAAAATTGGTCAAGTATACAAGCTTGATCCACACAAAGATATCTTGATGTTCTTCCAGATGAGAGGAAGAAAGAGACTTCAGCTGCGGGCTCGGTTACCATTCCAAAGTGGCTATTATTGGTTTAAATTTCAAAGGTCAAGATGGGTCTCAGAAGTCAAGCTAGATCATCATCTGTGCTTACAACTGATATCTGTGGAAAAGAAAACATACAGAATGAGCCTGGTGATCATGCACTGGTAGCAACTCTGTTCTCTAACATGGACTTTGCTTTTGAGTTAGTCATTCAAAGACCCAAAGTTTTTAGGAGAGAAGTCAAAAACAAAATAGTATTGAAGTGTAGTACTCATGCATTTAACTTAAATTCAACTCCCTAGCCTGCAAAATGTGAAATCTGAAATGCTCAAAAGTCCAGAACTTTATAAACACCAATATGACACCCAAGTGGGAAATTTCATGCTTGACCCTATGTTACACATGGGTTGCAGCCTAACTGGATATGTACTGAAATTACCTTCAGGCTATGTATACAAGATGTACATGAAATAAATGGCTTTTTTTGTTCAGATTTTGGTCCCATTGCCAAAATATTTCAGTATGTGTCGGTAAATATTCCCAAATTTGAAAAAATCCAAACTCTGAAACACTTCCAGTTCCAAGTATTTTGAAAAGGGCTACACAACTGTACCTCCTTGGTGGAGAATGAAAATGATATGACTGATTTTGCAAATTCTATATAATGATCATAACCCCTGGAAAAAAATCTGAAAGACACATGTTTGCTACAAGTTGACTACTATTACATGTGGCTCCAGAGAATTCCAGAGGGAAGTATATGTTTTGTTCAGCTTGTTACTTAAAGAAGGCCAAATACTCATTTGGAGTTCATCTGAAGGACAAATGAATGACTCCATCACTGAAAGAAATTATCTACTCCTAGGTGAAAAGGGGTTCTTTTCTAAGTAAAACAATCAGTACTTTTAGCTACATTGATTTAAATCAATATATATACACACATTATACAAAGATGATTTATATATACGTATCTAGAAGCCAAGGATTTCAGTTTTAAAAGAATCTACTTGTTTTGGCTAACATGTTGCTTCTACAACAAAAATACCTCAAATACTGTGGTATAGAGATGACCTTAAATTGACCTAATTGGCCTCTTGTGTGGGTGAGATGCTCTTTAACTGACTTAGGTTCTAAGAGTCTAGACAGTCTAATATATGATCCTAATGGCTGTCTGTAGCCCAAATAGCCACAGCTCAAGTTAGTAAAAGTGTCTCACTTCAAGTCATGATGTACAAAGACATAAAGCTGACTTACTGCTGGGTATGTGTGTCCAACTGAAGCACTGTGTCTCCCAATGTCTATTGAGAGGTCCTCCTCTGTGGTCTTCAAGTATACAGGATTGTCAAAGTTCATGCTCTTCATATTCTTATGCTGCCAGTTCCTCCACATCAGGTAGCCAGCTACTGCTGCCATTGCTAAGAGTACTGCAAAAAGTTAGAGGGGGATGAAATGAGGTCTGACTTTAGAACATATGAAAAAGGGAATGTCCAGGCATCTGTGATAATTGACATTAATAAAAGGTTCACGTTTTAGAGAGCTGTGACAACAGTTGGAATATAAATGAGCCAGAGTGTTGTAAAAAGCTCAGCTTAGTGATTGTGTTATTCCATGTACTAGAACTGAACTAACTACATCCAGCCAGGCAAGCATACAGTCCTCAGCTCCACCCCTAGGCCACCTAAATTAGCTTTCCGGAAGCTATTCAGGCAGTCCTGGCATGTTAAGTAAGGTTGGAAGTGAGTAATCTAGGATAAGAGACCATTACAGCAAAGTGCCTTAGTTTAGATGTCTGATAATAGCTTCAGAAATCCTTTTCCTCAGACTTGAAAACCCTTAACTACTTTTAATTTACCCTCTACAAGTCCTATAATTCTTTAAGAAAGCATTTAAGCATTTGTGCATCTTCTCTGCATGAAGCAGCATAAACATTTCAAAAGGGAACAGAATAGAGCTCTTGTTAAGGACTCTGAAGTGGAAAGCAGTAAGGACCTTCTATGTAATTGTTGAGCACTCACCAATGACTGTGACTGTGCTGAGGACAAACTAAACAGAAAATATGGTCCCTTCATGTGCTGTGTGGAGTGGGAGTGAATGTAATTTGCTATCACAAGCGCTATGACAGGGGGAAGGCAAGTCCAGGTGAACTAGCAATGTCCAATATCTAAGAAACATCAGATCAACACATAAAGGGAATCTACTTACAGAGGGGAAGGATGGCCCAGGCAGCAGAAGTTCCCTTTGGGGGAACCCTGACCTCTGGTACTGCTGTGGTTACATTGATCCCTACAGGAGAGTAAAAGGAATCAGTTAATAACGACCTCAATTCAGATTCAGAAATCAACCCATCAGGTGGAGACCCTTGTACCTTTGCACCCAATGCTGATGTCCAGTGACTTCTACAATTATATACCCAAAAAAACTCTAGCCTAAAAGTATTTAAGTTATATGCTCTAAGCACCATTTCACTAACGGCTCTATTAACAGAAACTTTAATAAGTGTGGGCAATCCACAAAATACAGGTTCTAAGTCTTTGGAATTTAAATATAGGTTACCAATAAGGGGTCAAGCTAGTAGTTAAAGGCTAAATTAATTGCTTAAGCTATAAAGAATGTGGCTGTTAGTTGAGATTAACGGTTTGCAGTACTGGGCCAATACCTCCAGGAACTAGTCCACTAGTTGGTAGAATGTCTGTGGTGTTGGTATCTTTTGACTCACTGTAAGCCACAGTAGTTGCAGTACCTGGATTGTAAAAACCAAGAACCTGGTTAATGCCAAGGTTCCTGAATGGCTAGCTGTTTAGTTCAGACAAGCCATGCAAAAGCTTATTTTAATGCCAGGTGCAAGGGACAAACCTGTGCTGACCTAAGTTTCCCAGTGAATGTGCCTGAATTGAGAAAAATGGTCTTTGTACAAAAATAGAGACACAGGAAACTATGGACCGGACAGTTAACCTGTGGAATTTGACAACTGAAAAGATGCACAGCCACACTTAACAACCATCCTGAACAGTATTCCAGACTTCCGGAAGTTACAAGAAACATTCTCAAGATTCTCTGGTATAGTAAGCCCACCAAACTGCCTTGCAGTTACTTTCTCAGTAATGACTAAGTCCCTGTCATGTCACAGAATTAAAATTAATAAGAGTCTTATTACATGAGTCCTTTGCTCACAAGTTTAATTTGCCATTCAATCAAAAGCTAAGAAGAAAAGACTGAGATGCAAGTTCAGTTTACGCTTAGGTCAGTAGTGGTGAACCTATGACACGTGTGCCACAGCTAGCTGTTTGTTATCATTGATAGCTCTAAAAGGTTTGCCATCACCGCACTAGGCCATGAGGTTTCTTGTAACCAAGGCCTCCCTTAAGCATCACTTATTTTTTTTTCATTAAGCATAATCACAGTCTGCCTTCTGAGCAAGGAAATGTTAAGACTTTGTTGAATTATCTGCAAGTCAGCTAGCTCAGTGCTGTTATATGGCTATCTGGTACAAATTATCACGAGGCATGTTGTTGCTATCTTAGTAACCTATAAATTTGCCTAATGTTGACACGGATTACAAGTTAGGCCTAAAGTACCAACATGAACACCTGACATCCAACAGTAGATGGTATGTTCTCAAATTTATTCCAAGTTAGCTACAACAGAGTTCTTAAAACCCAGGCCAGTTCTTATAGCTAGTGGTTTATACTGCCCATGTATGTCCTGCCTGTTTTTGAAACACAAAAAGGCTTACTTTGGCACTGTCGCCCATTTTCCTCTAGACTGTACCCACTGGGACAGGCGCAGGTATACTTTGGAGAGTGTTCATTAATCTGTGGTGCTGGCAGACACAGGTATTCACATCCTCCATTCTCCATGTCTTCTTTACACCAGTTTTTACCTACTCAGAAAAGAGTCCTTTAATATAGGTGTTCCAGGGCCTATTTGATATAAACTCTGGCTCCGTGGAGCTTAGACTTATCTACTCCATTAAATCTTCATGTGAGATTAATATCAATGGAAAATAGGTATCAGGGCAGAGGAAGCAAGATCTAAGAACACCAGGGTCAGAAAGGCTTCTTGGAAGTAGAGTACGAGCTACAGTATGTCTTCAAAAAACAAGTGCCAAAGGCAGAGGTGGGCAGGAAGGGAGTAAGTATGTGTGCATGCATGTGTGCACCACTAAGACCAGCTCTCATTCATCCAAGGCTTAGAGTGAAGGCTCAGAAAGAGGCTACACATGTTCTCCTTGCTTTCCTTGACTTTTTCTTATAAAGTAGAAGGAAACTTAGCAACGGGAGATTTGAGATAGACCAGCTGAAGGCTGAGATAGACCAGCTGAGAGGAAGAAAATATGTGTTTGAGAATCTGTCCAATCCTATATAAGAAGTGTCAGAGTGGGGAGAGCAGTGTTACGGGTTGAACTGTGTCTCTTCCTAAAACTTGTACGGTGAAGTCCTAATGTCCTGTACTTTATTTGGCTCAGGGCCTTTACAGATGTAACTGGGTTAAAATGAGGCCATTAGAGTGGGCCCTATTCCAGTATGTCTGTTTTCCTTCTTAGAAGAGGAAATTTGAACACACCATGTATAGAGGGGAGGTGATATGAACAGACACAGGAAGATGGCCATCTAAAAGCCAGGGAGAAGGGCCTGGGACACATCTTTCCTTCACAGGCCTCAGAAGCTACAAGCTACCCAAACTTTGATTTTGGACTTTTAACCTTTGGAACTGTGAGACAATAGGTTGCTGTTGTTTAAGACATCCACTGGCTGTACTTTGCTATGGCAACACTAGAAAATGAATAGAAGAAAATGTTTGTGGCATAAAACGCTACTATGAAGTCTGGTGCAACAGGCTTAGTGAAAGGGACTGATGGCCTAGGGGATATGGAAGGAAAAGAGAAAAAAGCTGTGACATGCAGAGTTGAAAGGTAGCTAAGGGCAGATGTTCTGAACTTCTGTCATGGAGATGGCGGAAATAAGGTGCCAAATATCAAGTGTGCAGTATTTGAGGTGGGGAACGGGGGGGACAATAGCACCATTTTAAGGAGACTTGAGCTGCTAAAGAGCTATTGACACCCAGTAGGTTTTGGGTCATGCTGATGCCTTATAGTCATCACTAAAGACTATTTCTCCCCGTTACCTGATGGCTGTACAAGTTCATGATAGACGATGATGTCCTGGGCATCATTAAGATTGTTGACTAGGGTAGCCAACTCTGATCCAGTGAATTTATTGGCACCATAAACTGCTTCATTTTCCCCATCTATCCAGTACACACGATCCTAAAACAGAGCCCTTGTAATTAGTACACACACCCATAAATGATTACCTAAGGTCAATGCTACTTATTGGCTCTTTCATGGACTAAGGTTTACATTTAGTGAAACAGATGTAAAACTATAAGAGAAGCAAGGGTTTCTCAAAGTGCTTCAAGGAATTGGTATTCAATTTGTATCGGGTTTTAAGTGAAAGTAGTTCTTCATGGTGCCTGTGCTCGTCCTTCCTTTCCCTATGCTTGATTTTCTCCTCCGAGTGTTATAGCAACTTGGATGTGAGACATACATCTTACCTCAAATATTGTTAGTGCAAGAGGGTGAGCCAGGAACTCCAGAGACTTTAGTACTATCCTACGATCTTGGCCATTCAAGTCCACACTGGAAAGCATGTGCAACTTGGAATCAAGCCAGTAGAGGCGGCTTTTTATAAGGTCTGGGTAGGAAAAGAATAGACATTATATGATAGCTATCATTGTGCTGCTTTCCATTTAAAATATCTGAGGAATCCAGTATACATGTGTGGTTCCTCCTCCAACAGGGGCTTTTAAGCGGGGGGGTCCCACAAAACTTGTGAAGCAGCATACAGACTCTGTATTTACATTCATTCAGAGGACTAATAGCGTATCTAAAGATCTCAAGGTAACTGCCTTAACAAATGTTACACTGCAGAAAGTATTAAAAGAGGCTAGCATTTCTGTCCTTTATCTGGGGTGAGCCAGAACAAAAATGTGACAAGACTGCAGTCTCACAATGCGAAGGCACTTTTGCAGGCAGAACTCAGTGTTCACTGAAATTGTGTCACATGTTAGGCAAAATGGACAACAAGCTAGTCATTATGGTGCATGTAATCTGTGAATTCCAACATTCTACCTGTGCTATTCAGTTACTCTTATACAAAGTTCCTGCAATGGAAAGAATCAGGACAGTTATCTGGTATAGCCCAGAGTTTACTATGGAGATGAGTTAAAACACTCTGAACGCAGTTAAACTGGTGGGCAAGAAGAAAGAATATACATACCGAGTGTAATTCCATTAGGCCATTGGATGTCCACAGTTACCAGTGGGCGTCTGTCAAATCCATTCATTCCTGCTTTTTCTATTTTTGCCGGTTCACCCCAGTCTGACCAGTAAACAAACCTGGGAAGAATACAATCAGAAATACACCTTAGCGGTGTCAAGGGAATGAAGCTGTAGCTTGCAGCAAAAGCTTAAAGAGGAAACAGGAAGCTCTAGAGATTGATTCTCTAGAAACAAACAGTGACACTTAGGGGTCTTAATTATGTTCTGGGTAAATAAAATTTAACACTGAGAATCTACAAACTCATTATTAAATGTATTAATCTCTATCAGTCTGACATTTAAATTTCAGCCTGAAGTCACATGGTTATATATATCCCTTTTAAATGGAGAATTCTTCAAGAGGAGTAAATGAATATTCTTTAATAGTAGACACTGGCTGATTACGTTCAAATGATAATTCATGGAGACCAACGGTAATTACCCTCTCTCATGCCATCTGTCTTATATCTCCTTGCTGCCTTATTTCATTTCTTTGTGATCAGCCCACTCTGCCATTCGTCTCTGTGTGTGCATCTCATAATTACCCGCTCGGAGAAACTGCATCTAATTCAGTCAGATACTCTTCAATCTAAAGTGCCTCTGAGCATCAGGGATCTTGTGTAAGTTACCTCTTGGGCCACTGACTGGCCTGAAGGAGGATGGTATTGGTAGTTTACCGTGCCCAGGTCCAGCAACTGTGCCCAGATCAGACCCATTACAAAATGCAGGACACAGTGATCCATGGAAGCACTGGGGGCTCCTTTGCTCATGGGACAGGGGCAGGGCATATCCATTTCTGAGATCTCTCTCAGAAAAGAGGAGAGAACAAAATACCCAACTTGGGAACAAGATAATACAAATTTGATTGCAATTTTCCAAATTATTCGTCACTGAGTACTTTTCTACTTGATTGAAGTACACATGAAGATAAGAAGGTGATAGCTTTTAATGCCACTCTGTCTGTAATTTCTGACTTTACATTTTCTTTTCTTAACCATGTTCTAGAATGGCAAAATATTAAAGAAGGTATTTATTTGTATCCCGAGATTTTGAACAGTTTCTGACTTCATGTTACAGCCATCCAAAGTTTTTCTTTAAGGGTGTTCTAAAATGCTAGAAAATTAAAGATGAATCAGGCTTTATGAATAAGCTTTCTTGTACTTGTTCCTTTTTTCTTCCTGAACAATAACAAAATCACCCTTAGTCAACTCCCTAAGATGCTTGTGTCTGTTACTTACTGGCAATTTAGGGAAACTGCTCAATGAAAGGTTTCTAGGAAAGTCTGTTTATTTAAATAGAACTTTCAAATAAATTGCACTTTTAAATGGAAGCTTTGAATCAATGTGGTTATCCGAATTGCCAGACTTCATGCTACTATTTAGGTCTGCTCATCCTTAGCTCACCTTGCAGTTAGCTGGGTTCAGCCAAAACAAAAAGTCCCTTGTAAAGAAGCTGAGCCAGCATGAGTTTTCAAAGTTTCAGATACAGCTGTGGGTGTACACAACACATGAAATCATAAGTATTGTTTCATTCATGCCAACAAGCAGTTGGACATACAATGAGGACCTGTCACATACAGGGGACATTCCCTCATAGCACCACTGATATTCCAAACCAGATAATTCATATTTCTGGTAAGTCTTGGGACATGTGATAGGAAACAGAGTACAAACCCAGACAGTGGGTCCACGGCTATGGAGGCAGGTTCTCGCAAGCCAGAGTTAAACAGGAACTTCCTCTTGGTCCCATCTAGGGTAGCTACTGAAATAGTCTTAGCAGCCGCATCAGTCCAGTAGATGGTCTTGTACACCCAATCAACAGCAATGGCTGCAGGATTATAGACATTGTCGATCATTTTAACATGTGTACCAACCTTGTCATCAATTGAGGCACTGAAATAGAATAGGTCACAAGAAATATAAGAGTTTGCCACCATTAGAACCTGGTGAAGGGACTTTCTGCTGTAAAATGGTCAGGGACTTTATTCAGAAAGGAGAACATCATAGCCAATAACTTCATAGCTCACCGCTCAGATTATTCAATCATGCTGCTTGCTGATGCTAAATGAATAATAGAGTACTATTTTATCTAGGTGCTAATATTTACTCTGTGTACAAACAGGATGAAATTCTAAGTGAAGCTATTGGTTTCAGTAGCTATCAACTGAGTCCTCTACAGTTCCCGTTTTAAAAAGCTGCTGCTCCTAACATTTTGTTTGTAGCAGTAAGAAACAGTTCTCGACTGCAGACACAGGGAGAACATATGAGAAATGAAGATATCACCTGCTGCAATCTTTCATCCGTATTCATCTTTTACTTCATAAAGATTAATTTCTAATTACAAACTGACAGCAAATTTAATAGTTAATGAATCACTGCTAGACTTAATATTCCTAGGTAAGTCAATGCTAGGTGGGAGGCAAAGGCAAGAGAATCCCCTCCAAGCCCTCCCACAGGCCAAGCGAGAGTGATTTATGCCAGAAGTGGGGATGAACCTGGAAGTTACCTGAAGATGGCCTTTTGGCTCAGATCAGCCCAGAACAGTTTCTGAGCAGCAATATCAGCATCAAGAGCCACAGTGTTCCGTAGCTGCTCAACCAGTTGGATATATTCTTTCCTTTCTAAACCAATCTTTCTGATGTCTCTTCGGTTGGTAAAGATCAAACTCGGTTCTTTTCCTAGAAGACAAAAGTTGAGC